GCCGAAGCGATAAATCAAGGAATTGCACACTTGACGGAAATGGCACCATGTCATCATTTTGCACATCAAGCACTGAATATTCTACAATATCTCGCCAAGAAGTGGAATATTGAAGTAGACATACCACCTAGCAGCGGTGTATCTGAGGAAGTGGATAATTCGGTCCGGCCCGCGACCAGCAGTCTTAATTTCTTTTCGCCAAACGTCAACGAAGACGACTTCCTCTGCTCATGGGGATCGCGAGATGTTGGCGGCCCCGGAGGCGCAACGAAAAGACCTACTTCGCCTACCCCGCAAACCCATTTTAGTCGCGGAGAAAAAATGGAGGGGATCATCGAGGGGGGCCGAACTAAGGAGGCGGCGGACCAAGATCCAATTCCTAGCTTTGGGCCCGGAAGCGGCACAGGCCCCATAGCGCACACAGCCAAAAGCCTCGAAAATCCATTATTCTGGCCATTCCCGATGCAAGGTCGCCCAATGCTCCCGGAAGGAAAGCAGCTCGAAGAAGCCGGCTTTCGTCCTCTGTAGGCCATCAATAATAAACGGCCCGACGCAGAATTCGGCCGGCGTGAATTCATTAAGAAGCACGTCAGCGCATTTCCTAGCTTGTACTATGTCCATAACAGGACCAGACGGTTCCGTTCAAAGCGATCGACATGGTGGCAGCAAGTGTGTTTCCTGGCAGCATAGCTGGAGATTCACGGCCAAACAGATCCGTAGCCGACTAAGCTTTTTTTGGCAACTTAACGACGACATGGACGTGGTGATATTTGATGTACAAAGAAATTACGGATAAATAAGTTGGAGGCAAATGAAGGACCTTATGCCCTACTCATGTGATAAAGTTAACAGGACTGGTTATCTTAGAAAAAATTTACGACGCAAATAGATGATACCCCTAGCATACGAATGCGTTTGTCTTGGGCCTAGCTCCGAGGAGCCGGCTTGTAAATTAAAAGTCCTCTATTATCATGCTTTTCGATAGGCGCCGGAACTCAGCAATGGATTCGGAACGAGGATTAATGGTCTTGCTGCTATGCTTATGTGTAGGTACCTATCGCTATCGACTAGGTGACACTGATTTATCATCATTAGGGTCGTTCATCGAACGAAAAACACTCCATGAGAGTTAAAAGCAAGACTGGTTTCCTTCCTGCAGCAGTCGACTCAATTCTACCCAGTTCGAAGGATCAGACGACAATTTTCTCGTTGCCTATACCTCTCAATACTATCATCCACAGACATCACTTGCGACCAAAATAGCGAATGCCGTCGTAGAATCCACTACTTTTTTTCATGTGGGCATTTGTCATCACTAAGAGGATGTTTTTATCTTTGCCGGTGACTATTTTAATAACTCATGGATTTCTGTGTCTGAGTATCGCAGAGCAGAATACTGTTGCCTAAAGCAAGATCCCACACTATGGATGAGCTGAAAATACCGCCCCGCTAATTGGCCAATCACAGAAGCGAAATGGCAGATCCGGGGGATAGATCTCTGCCGGCAGGTAATATGTACCAGGGAAAAGGCATCACTCACACAGCGGTTGCAGTTAAATTAAGAATTATCCGAGGAGCCTGACGGCCATCGCAGAATGGGGCAGTTCGGACTTTTTCGAGTTTGAGGCCATTCTCAGATTCATGGTTTATGTAGGTACCTACCCGTTCTTGTCAAATCCCATCGACCCGGTCCGCCCCGGAGGTTTACTTGCAGCAGGGGGTAGGGGATTTAGGTAACTAGATTGAGTATGCGTATTATACTAGATAGACTGCGTCCTGTAAGAAGCCAAGCGACAGGATGCCGTCATGTCCGGAAATAGAACTAGAGCTTCGAGAGCCGCATGATGAGCCAAGAGGAATAGTTGGGTGAGACTGAACGGCGAGTGAACGCATGTGCTGGCCAAGGGTAAGCTTAATGGCTACCTGATCATTCAGATATAGACGAATGAATCTGAGAATGTTGGCTAACGCAATACTAGCGTCAATGGTACCGTATACTTGTCATGGTTCTCCTATTGCTCTACAGCTAGAGTCACGCTTCTGATTGGGGATCATGGCATACTTGATTCCAACGTCTAGAAGGCATTTTCGCGTGAAATTGATATGGTTTAGGTTGGAAATTTGAGCATATTGATTTAGCATTTTTCTGCTTCCTAGACGAAGCCAGACTTACTGGATCCTCTACATCTTGCCCCATGTTTTATCTGCCTTCTCCAACCATCATAGCGACCTTTCACGAAGATGGCGTTTAAGCCTACGCAGATCACTCACTCACTATCAAGCTGAGCACTTGATCGAACTCCAAGGCAATGTCAGCGAGGCCGCCATCGAGCACTGCCAGGACAAGATCCCTCCCTTCTCCGAAGGCGACGTGATCCACGACAATGCATGTGAATCCAGTGTCGTGACCCAGACTGTTATGAGCTTGAAGCCTCCTTCTATTCAGATCTTCGACACCGAGATCAAACCGCAGTTCGTGTAGGGCTGTGCGGAGGTGGCCGGAAAGAATGGATGGCCGGTGACCAGCGCCGTCGTGTCTGCGCAGAACCTCACCTTCCCGGATGAGAAGTTCACCCACTCCTTTACTACTTTCGCCTTCCACTGCTTGGGCAACCATGTAAGGGCCGCGAGGCAAACCTACCGGACGTTGAAACCCGGTGGTACTGCCGTCGCGTCGATCTGGATCTCCATGCCCCACGTCGACGCACTGCCGCACGCACACTGGTTCACGCGCGGCAGGGAGGGCCCGATGCCAGTCCTGCTTCCGCTGGAGGATTATACTTGGGCACCGTGCTTAAATCGTGTGGGGTTAACGCTGAGGATATTACGTGCTTTACGAAGGAGTCATATCTCACAATGCCGGATGTCAAGCGTTGGGCGCAGTTGGCTTGGAGTTACTTGGGCATGTTACCCAGAGGGTTCCAAAACGATGAGGATAAGTGGGATGAGGCGCTGGAGGATATAGTGAAGCAGATTAATACTGGGGCTAGGTTCAACAAGAATGAGAGGGAGGAGACGGTTATGACTATGGTTGCTTGTATTACTGTCGCGAAAAAACAGGTACCTAGGGCGGACGAGATCCCCTGTCAGTCAGGACTAAGAATGGATCTAATGATACCCCTGCTACGACTCAAGGTAATCATTACCTTTTTAAGTAAATGCTCGGGGTCGATCCGGCGCGATCCTAAATGTGACTTCAGCCCTATATGCATCGACGGATCCGTTCCGTTTCGAAGGATGCTGTCCTAGATCCATATGGAGAATGTATTACACGGCGTATCCAGAGAAATGAGGTAGCAAAGATGATGGTCTAGATCGGACTTAGGAAGTCGACATACTCTAGCTCTTAGCCCAATATAGAATAGAAGGTGATATGTTCAGTAGAGTGATCCGGAGCTGACGGGGTATATTGTAGCTTCGTGGTTATACTTGCGCAATGTCGGGTTATACATAAGGAACCCGCCTCTTGGCTAAGTCTCAAGTGACTATGAGATTAAAGTATAGTCTCCTAGCCCTTCAAGAAAGTTTGAAGCATTATCAATTCGCCTTCGTGTACATATATCAGTTTTTGTAACATGTCGAGCTCACCTTCAACAATCAGAGTCGCCATTATAGGCGGGGGGCTAACTGGTGCCATAGTCCTGCGTGGGCTCTTGCGATACCCACACATTTCCGTTGACTTATATGAACCACGGCCAATATTCAAGGAAGAAGGGCCGGGGCTTTCTCTTTCAACACAGACTCAAGCTGTCCTGGCCGCTATCGACCCCGAGTTGGAGCAGTGTCTTGACCGTGCAGGTGCTGTGTACACCATGACTGAGGTGCGACTAGCTACGGGACCTCATATAGGAAGAGAGATCGGGGTCAACGAGATTGGAGAGAGAAGCCAGAGAAATGTCGGTCGACAAGCCTTCCTGACCGAGATGATCGACGGTATACCACCCCACATACTGCACCCAGGCACACGGATAAGTTCTGTTACAGAGCTGTCTCCCGGTCAGGGGTTGGTACTAACGTTTGGGGATGGTTCGCAAAAGACCTATGACATTGTCATCGGCGCCGACGGGACACACGGGTTCACACGGCAGCTAGTTCTTGGTACTAACGAGTCTTTGGTCAAAGCACAATCCACCGGATTCTGGGGGTTATCTATCAAGGTACCGCTTCAGAGAGCCCAGCAAGTCATGAGCACCCAGTATCTAGACCCGGGGAATCCACGTCAAGTATGCTGGATAGGAGACGGAACAGTCATGATTTCCGACCTGCTGGCGAACGGGACGGATGCCCAGATTGTCGTTTACGGGAAGGAAGACGAGGAAGATGAGATTTCGGAATCGTCTTGGGCTAAATTGTTCACGCCCGATGAGTTTCGAGATTTATTTGATGGCAGCCGAGTCCCTGTATGCCAGAGCATGGTAGATGTACGCTCCCCTTCAAACCCCTGGTGTCGTAAGGAATTAACTGAGCTGACGAATACCTTGCAGCTCATTCTAAGCGTTTACACAGTCCAGATCCCCGCCATCAACCAACTGGAGCATCGAGCGACGCCGACCTACACAAGCAGGAACCTTTGCCTGATCGGCGATTCCGCACACAGTATGCTACCATTTCTTGGCGCCGACGCGAGTCTCGCTTTCGAGGAAGCGTTGGTACTATGTGCTCTCCTCGGGCGTGTATCGTCGAAAGCCGCGATCCCTGTGGCCCTTCAGGCGTATGACCAAATCTGCCGGTCTCGTGCCGAACAAGCTGCCCGCTTCAGCGCCGAGACTGGTCTTCTTGTTGTAGGGAGGGCACCAGGTGTAGGAGTTAACGCTGATTTGATTCAACTGCACTTGAGAGACAAGTTTGAGTTCTTGCGGGATTTCGATGTCAATGCGCACCGGGCTATGGCTAATGCCATTATGGATCAACTGTTGGGAGCCGCGGTGGGGTGGTCGTCATAATGATGATGATGATGATGGGGCCGTTATATGTTCCGCTACTGAAACTAGTTTTAACAAGTCTTGGTGGCTCAGTTGGTTAGAGCGTTGGTCTCATAGTCAATATGACTCAATCCCCCAGGATTGGGCTATCCAAAGGTCGTGAGTTCGAGTCTCACCCAGGACAAGGCCTCTCAAGGCACTTCTTCATAAACCCCTCGCAGGGAGACCACTTCCTCTGAAGAGTAAGGCGAAACCAAAATCACCCCCCCTTGGTGGTCTAGTTGGTTATGGCGTTCGGCTGTAATTGTCACAATTGTATACCGAAATGTCGCTGGTTCGATTCCGGCCCGAGGGATCTCTTTTTTTTGCCTTTTGGCTATCTTTTCCCTATACATTATTTTTTATTTTCACGTGGTGCGGTGTAATTCACCTAGAAGCGTACCTATTCATCCAAAAGGCGCTTATAGATAGGTTCTGTGACGTATAGCACTCGATATTTTGGTCCACTTCAGGTTTTCATCGTTGATGCCCTAATCGATAATGAGGGTAGATCCACAACATCTAGAATCCCGATTCCGGATCTACCACCCTAGGCTCCGCAGTTATAAAAGTGGTGGTACGATGGTGTTGTTGCGCTGGATGTCTTGCTCATCTTGTTCGAGTAGGCAATTTTCCCGAATAGGAATAGAGGCATTACGGCTGATACAGCTCTACTCTTCCTATTAAGGGGGGTGTACTCTAGACGTACTTATGCTCCATCGCTGTATCTAGGTATATAATTAGATAGTAGCCGGATGTATAGTGTTATTTTCATTCTGGTTTTCGTCTACGATGCAGCGATACCATAACCTAATAGTGCATCACAACTACAGCATGATAAATGCTCGCGAATTTTACAAGAAAATGTCATCTAAGCTTATCCTAACTGCCTTGATACCCGACAATCACTCCATAGTTCGCCATTAAACGCAGGATGTAAGCGCGTTACAAGAGAACTCATGCCTAAGCACCACTCCCGTCGCCGGGTAGTTTCTCGATCCCTAACACTTGATTAGCTAGGTTTAAAGATTTGGTCTGGTAGGTAGTTTAACTTACACCCTTCAGTATTCTCATCGACTGTGTTCGGTACGGAACACTTGTTTGCCTCGGAAAAGTCCTGCGTTAAGACACCCTCGCAGGCGGCACCAAAGCATGCTCCATCCATCAGCTTCTGGAGAGCGTCTCCCTTCCACCCGAAGACGTAATCGGCGTGTTGGTCATATCCAGTACTAATCTAAGTCAGCCCTGACTGTTGAATCATGCGCCTGTCGTGGAGTATTACCTATCGCCTGTGCTTAGAACGAATGGCTGGGATGAGTCCTCGGGCCAGTCGTTAGGGTCGTTAAACGCAGTCGTGTCCCAAACGATCTATGAACATTGCATTCAAAGTTAGCGCAAGTTGTTAGAAACGGGTAAAAGGAAAAGTGCTACGAACCTCAAGCATCACCTGTGGTATTTTAACTGGGTGAGTTGATGGTCATTCGCCAGTAGTAGCAAATGACGAAGGACCTCCAATGGGGTATGCGACATCTGCATTATAATAGTTAGCAATGTCATAAAAGCAATATAGAGTAGGCGTTACGTGCGATCCTGGTGGTTTGGACTATCTAAGCGTTCTCCGTCCCAGCATCTAGACGTTCAGTTAGCACTCGGTCCCAGTCCCAAGCGTTCTATTGTTTCTTACGTCGGGAAGTGAATATTCGAGCGAATACCTCCAAGACAAGGGCCAGAAGGGAAAGTCTCGGTATCCAACTTGGGGTCAGCACAAGGGGAATAATCGTCTCCCTCAAAATCGGGACCGGTAAAGCAGCGGAAGCAGCTCTGAGACTTCAGCCCAGAACCTAGCTTCTCTCTTCGCATGGAATCACCGACGAGCATGCGAAACCCCTAAGAACCGGTTCAGCAATGTTCTGAAGTACCTGGCGTACCCCTGGCTGGTCTTACTGGCTTGAAAGCGGTTACGGTGTTCTTGCCCGGCGAAACGTAATACACCGTGACACCACCTTGGGATCCCTCGAAGAATCGGTTTGGCACTTGGGGCACTCTCTTATAAGTGCCATTTCGCGCCTTGAAGTATAGGTTCGCCGTCCAGTAGTTGGAAAAGTCTTCGCTGAATGTGCATGTCGTACAGGTAGCAAGTTCAGAGACGTCGCTGGATGGGATGGAAGCGTTGAATGCGTTCTGCGGAAGCTAAGCAATGTGGACCAAGAGGATATCGTTCTAGGATACATACTCCTCCAACAATCTATATGATGATCATGAGCGACGTTCAGCACTTAGAGAAATATTCCAGGGGTTGCTCCATACCTGGTGCTGATGGGGAGAGGGATTGAGTCCCGGATTGACGAGGCTAGAACGCAAGAATCAGACGCGCTCAAGAGATCCGACTTTGAGATATCCAAAACTTACGGGTCGAGTCTCTCAATAACAACTTGGCTGCACCCGAATCGAACGAGGCTATTATCGCCGGGGCCCTTTATCGGGGTTGTCTGCGGTGCTGCATTGGCGAATACCGCCAGTGATAAAAACGTAGACCAGAACATGATTTCACGGCCAGAAGCACAAGGAATCGCCCTATTTCAACTGTTTACTGTGAATACCTAGTTGAACAAGTAGACCAGATAGAGTGTCGTTAGTGACATCCCTGGGCTATATTATGTGCAGTCTCCTGGCGACCCCATGGCAAATGCCGGTTCTGCCCTATATGCTATTGATGGAATAGAAATTAAAGTTGATTGATGCTATCAAATCAACCAGTACGATTCTATGAAGATTCAGCGATGCTAGTATTTCTGATTTGATAAGACGTTCATTGGTTTACGACCTATTTTGCCAGATCTACCGGACACATAGGGGTATACTGTGAAAGCATGTCTGCCTCCTAGATAGTCGCAACGAAGTGGTGTCGCTACTCTATTCTAGTTCTAGACGCGAGGCTTCTTGCTTTTGCTATTGCATTACGGAGGTTTATCGCATGTCTTTTGCAATCAGGTACTGGTCCGTTGTCGTCACCATTGCTACTGTGTCGAGAAGATAGAGTAAGTACCGTTAAACCCAGGACTCTTGGATGTCAAAGGGTATCATGGAAGAAAGACTGTGGGCCGGCGGGCTAGGCGCTGTAGGTAAGGCCAGTTCTATAGAGTCTCAGTCGGTCTTCATGCTCCTGCGTTGGGTAGCTTATGATGGCTGCGATCGGCCATGAGGGTAGCCAGAGTTGCATGAAGTCAAACCTTCTTGGTTGACAGGCGCCTAATAGCAATACTGCGTGGTATCAATGCTACCAGACTTTTCTGTGGATGACAGTAACATGACAGGATGCTTGAGGATCTAACCTTTGCCGAATCGATGAAGCAGTCAATGGACCAATCCGGGAGCTCCGAAATCGACCAACTTGCCCTTCTCCTCTCCTGCTGTACTAATTAACGGAATTGGTTCCCACGTGCATGTCGCTAGCTGCCAACTCCTTGAATAAGGAAGCACTGCCGTGATGCCTTCATGCTACTTCGTGCAAGGTTCCCCGCAATCTGCTTGGAACCGGTATGCGAGATGGGTGGTAAATTTGACCCCTACCATATTCGACCATTCCTTGTCCGTCCCTGGCGCTGATCCCTTTCAGGATATACCCCAATGAACCATGTATTGATCCTGATGCGTTGGAGATACCTTGTTACCTTAGGGTTATAAGTCATGCCAACTACCCCCTAGAAGAGATGGCCAAGTATCCTTACGCGAAGCTGAAAGCAACTTCTTCATCATGGGTCTTGGAGTTCTCGAGGACAAGCACTTAACCCACGTGCCTGGGACGGCGCTCCTAACAGATGTTGCCGGTTCGGATCATCATCACCACCATGGCGAACTCAACCCAGCGGCCTTGCGCCATGGAAAGGGCAAGGACTCGGATGTTTTGCTGGTGCCGCAACCTAGTAACAGCCCGAATGATCCCCTGAACTGGCCCTTGTGGAAGAAGGATCTTATGCTATTCTTTATCTGCATCGATACCGCAGTAGTGGGAGCCTGGGTGAGTCACCCCTTTCAAGACCAACTTCTCATGATTGTACCATGATAGGGCCAACGTAGCGATAGAAGAGGGCCTTAGACACATCATTGTACTAGGTTGACACTAATATGTGCTACAGGGACCGATGATTTCACCCGGTTACGTCGAGATGGCTGCGCAATTCGGCATGTCTTATAACTCCCTTAATGCGTACCTTGGATATGGTGTGCTGGTGATTGGACTTTCCTGCTTCTTCACCAACTCAATGGCCGTCGTTTGGGGACGCAGGCCCGTATTCCTTCTCGGCAACTTACTGCTATTCATAAGCAGCATTGGGGGCTTCTATGCGCATTCCTTTAGTAGCCTGCTTGGGTTCCGAATCATCGGCTGCATTGGGATGTCCCCATTCGAGGTGTGAGTGTTGAGTCTCTTTGGCTTCAAACCAGTACATAAATATTCTAACTGATTGCTCGCAGTTTGGTATCCACCACAATAGCGGATATATACTTCGTCCATCAGCGCGGTGTCCGGCTCGCAGCTTGGGGTCTTTGCCTTTCGATTGGCGTTGGCGGTGGTACCATCATCTCCGGCTATATCATTCAAGATCTCGGATGGAATTGGACCTACGGAATCTGCGCAATCATGTTTGGCGTCTGGATTATTGTGCTTTTTCTCTTCTGTCCCGAGACGGCCTATAGACGAGACGATTCCCTGAACATAGACCTTGGACGAGGTCGGGATAAATCGGAAGAAGTCAGTAAGGACGACAGCAAGATAGGAAAGGTAGAGAGCGAACGAACAGCATCCGGGAATGTAGAAGCCGAGATCGAAGTCATCGAGCGCGCAGCAACGAACAACACGTGGTCGGAACAGAAGAATAGCTATTGGCACGACTTGAAAATCTATAACGGGAGAGTGTCGGACGATCCCTTCTGGAAGGTTCTCACTCGGCCGTTGCTAATGCTCATATTTCCGCAAGTCCTGTTCTCCTTTTTCGCATACGGACTCACAACTTCTTGGTTGGTTGTGGTGGGAAGTGTGCTGGCTCAGCTGTTCACAGCTCCTCCCTACAACTTTAGCGTCTCGGGCGTCGGACTAGTCGCTATTGCTTCTCTTATCGGCGCGATCATAGGGGCTTTCATATCTGG